AAAAAATTAAAAATTAAAATAAATTTTTAATAAAATTTAAAAAAATTTTTAAATTTATTAATTAATTTTTAAATTTTTTTTTAAATTTATTTATTAATTTTTTTTTTTTTTATTTTTTTTTTTGGATATATAATTTAAAAAAATTTTTGGATATAGAGTGATTATAAAATATAGGTAGGATATTTAAAATGGGATATAGACTGCCTATAAAGTGATGTTGTTTATATAGAGAATAATACATGGGTGCGCCAGAAATACTGTACCAGATTTATTTCGAGTGTTGAACATGATATCTCACGAGTGAGCGCAGTGAACAAGTGAGATATCATGTTCAATACAAGAAATAAATCTGGTATTTCCAAGCACCCATGTATTTTTCTGTTTATTATATAAAGGACAGTTTTTGAAAAGCGATAATGTTTACAGAAAAGCGATAATTGAAAAGTGATAATTTTCACATGTGAGATTATCATGAATAATCTCACATGTGTGATTATCACTTTTATCAGTGCTCGAAATCTGTATAAAGCACAATACTTTTTATAATAAAATACAGTATATTGATTTGAAATGATAGGAAAGAACTTCACAATCAATTAAACTTAAAACGTCTAATATACTATGTTTATTATTTACTGTGACTGTAAATGTTACTGCCAGAAAAGTTTATGCTCTTCTGGTTAATTGTTTAACCAGTCTCTCTGCCAATGCGCCCTGTTAAATTGTAGCATGCCCCTAAGAAAGTGTTACCTAGTGATAGTTTAGCCAAACTTTCTGCCTATTTAAAATTTCAAATATTTACTCTGACATGTCAGCAACAAAAGTACTATTAGATTGAGTTTGTTTTATCTATAAGTTGTTTGATAAACACATAAAAGGTGCAGTGCACTCTTCATAATATTCTGTAATGCAAAATAATTATTTTTTCAAGGGAATGTGTTGGCCATGCATTAATGTTTAACGAAGGACAGTTACAGCAAAACATTGTCGATTGTGTGCGCTGCTATATAGTGACGTGTCCTCATTTTTGACTGTGTCAAAGTGCCATTCAGCAAAGACTATTGGTTTTCAAATCACCTGTACTGGTAACATGAACTTTAATTTGGATTGTGAGTCTGTGACTGATGTAAACTGTTAAAATGATTCAATTGAATCAAAATATGTATGTATACTGTAGACTATAGTCTTAAACTCTAAAAATAATTATAGTTTAAATTTGTAATAAATTTATTTTTAACTGTTACTACATTGGTATAATATAATTACATTACATTGAACACTAGAAAGTAAGCTTTACACTGCAAGCATATTTAAACCTTGGGAAGTCTAGGTTTACTTTCGAGGTGTACCTTTACACCAATTTGGTGTCACCACAGAGGAAAGTAGATTTACACCAAAGAAGTGCTAGATAACCTATGGCAGTGTAAGTTTACCCTCTCAGTGTATATAAACACCAAATTAGTGTCCCCACAGAGGCAAACGGATTTACACCAAAACAGTGTTAAGTAACCTAGGATAGTGTAAATTTACTCTCTCAGTGTAAACAAACACCAAATTGGTGTCACCACAGAGGCAAGCGGATTTACACCAAAGCAGCGTTAAATAACCTACGATAGTGTAAGTTTACCCTCTCAGCGTAAATAAACACCAAATTGGTGTCCCCACAGAGGCAAGCGGATTTACACCAAAGCAGCGTCAAATAATCTAGGATGGTGCAAATTAACACCAAATGGGTGTTCATACAGACACAACTATTTACACTGAAGAGGTGTAAATTAACACTAAAATCAGTGTTAACTGACACCTTTTCGGTGTCCCCACAGAGGCAAGAAGTTACACCGATTTTGGTGTTGTGGCAACACTCCCAGATTTACAGTGTAGCCTAAATACAACATGCATACAGTGACTGTTTTACTGACTGTTCAAGAATAGAGCATTGCAATAGAAGATAAATTGCTAACGATTCACATGCATGAACGATTAGTGTAATTGCATGAACTATATATAATCTATAAGCCTTCTGGCTGAAATTGATCTTGCATGTGGCCTTTTGTTCTTCTGTTTTAAATTCTGCAACTTCTTCAGCAACTTAAAAATAGGAAAATAAACATTTAAATTATAAACTGAAATGTTGAAATATGCAACTTATCCTCGAACATAATTCATTTAATTTTAAACAAGACTCTCTATAAGCGTTAGTTGTATGCTACGTGTTACTCATGCAAAGTTCTTCTTTCTTACATTTTATTCAATTAACGAGTATTTTTAACTAAACTTTTTACAGAACATTGTTTGTTGTTTTTTTCTAGCGCTAGACTATAATCTGAGCCTGTTTCCTTAGAACTGCCACTGATACTTATTTGAGTGTAATAGTTGTTCTGTAATTTTTACGTTACTAAATCAAACATGCAGCGTAACGTCTTTTTTGAGACAGTCAGCAATTGTCTATTTTCATTAGTATGATAGAGATTTTGTTTCTGTTCACAGTTAAACCTAACGAGACAGCCATTAGGCTTACGCCAGAAAGATCTGTAATTGGTGAATCAGTTAACATAACTTGTGAATCTAGTGGCTTGCCTAAGCCACGTTACTCCATAATCCATAATGATACTGAGGTTAGTAGTGAGAGGACGTATACCATATCCAAAGTGAACTGGAGTGATGCTGGAACATATCAATGTACTGTGGAGAATGAACTTGGACGTAATTCAAAGTGCTCTTGTTTGACCGTCGTAGGTGAGATATTCAAATCACCAACTATTTATATCTAGTTTACCGACATAATTTGGCATGAAACATGATTGGACTGATGGGATGAGATGGGATGCATATTGGAGTCAATTTTATGTGTGTTTTGTATATGCATTTGTGCTCCTCATTCTTGTTATTCGTAGTTTCAGGTTACTGAATAATTGTCTTCTAGGAAACTGAGCTTTATATACATTATCTTATAGTACTAGTCTAAGTACATCTTCACGAGTGCACCAGCTCAAGTACACGGCAATAATCATTGGAGTACCAGTGAGGTACGACTGAAAATATTGATCCAATTCAATTATGAACGAAAATAACTTTGCCTGCATAACAATCGTATCTTCGTCCTCTTTTCTCTCTTCTTTCTGGCGACTACATTTTACAAATAAAAGTAATTCTTAAAGAGCACCGCCCTCAAATAAACCCCGCATCCAAAACACAAAAAACTGATGTAATGAGTAGTATAGGTACTATTTCTGCACCAGAATGATACCTACTGTATTATTGTCCGATATGTCCTATATTCACCATCATCATATATAACCACAAGTGAGCACTAATCAGAAATTTAAGTGCAAGTAACTGAAAATTAACTTATTATGTCTATTTAATCTTACTTCTCTCAATGAATCAGGGCAACCTAATAAGAAAAATATACAACGTATTATATGCATTAATATTGACAGATGTAATATCGCATCAGCATGTACAACACTGTCATTGGCATCTCAGTCTCAATTCCTCCTCATCCTGCAGTTACAAGTTGTTTGAACTAATATTCTAACTGATCAATTGTCCAAATGTTTCTGTTCAGGAGAGAAAGCAGCTTCTAAGAAAGTGGATTGTGAGAGCAGCACTGAAACTGTTGTAGTATGGCATATCGTGGTATCTTTGGTGTCTGGAGTTATCATTGGGCTTTTTCTTTCCCACGTTGTCACGTGTTCTCGTCGTCGCTGGTTTACAAACAGAAAACCTGAACGAAATCCTGAACCAAAGACAGCTGATGTTGATACAACTTATCAAGAGCTTGATCTAACAAAAATAAACACAGAAGATAATTATCAGTCGTTGAGAGTGAATGCTGCAAGTAATGTTGCTAGAAATCGAGCTGCAAATGACGATGACTCTACTTATACTGAGTTGAACGAAACCAGAGATGTGGAGAACAACTATCAATCTTTAACTTGAAGCTGGAATATCTTTTAAAGATAAAGGTAGCCCCCTTCAGGCATCTTCATTGGGATCACATGTATCACATGGTTTAAAACCACAGAAACCAGGGTAACCTTTATAGAGATGCTTGCGGTGAAGGGCAGATTAAAAACCAGGGAAAATGTTTTTATTCAACAGTGGGCCTGAGACTGTCTCAAGGGTCCTTTTTATCGAATAAAGATCGATTCTTTTCTTCTCCAGAGGTAATTGGTAATGGCCGCGTTAACATCAAACCCACCACACCGCACCTGGTCTCCCCATCTGTTTCTGGTTCCCTCAATAAGATACATTCACAACCATGCACAACGCGTCCAGCTTGTTTTAGCACGAAAAACTTTATATTACTCGTCAAGACTGATCAATCTGTCTTTGACCTGTGGCCATTGACACTATTCAACGGTCAATTTTAAACAGTTTGAAAAAAAATTAACAACCGACCCTTGACATAGCTATACAAACACACATGCCAAATATGCACAGAGTCTAAAAAAGTTTGAACTATATCGATGTATATATTAATGAATTAAATCATGACCTTAGTAATCTATCCGCATGAGGAGGCAGGAAGTGTGTCTTATTTATTTACATATCAAACCTTCAATTGCTATCGAAGCCGGAAGAACTTTAACCACACAAAACAAAATATCATATTATAGCATTTGGTGGCCAATTTTACAGGAATAATACTTACAGCAGGTACGTAATATTTTGTCATCAATAGCAGGTGATTCACTATGTAGCTAATATTTTGTTATAACAGACCATTGAGTATATTGGTATTATTCGTATGAAACCATATGCATTTACTATTGCAATCAGATATAATATCAGAGCTGCTTCCCTACTCTGTCTTTGTTCACTAAAATTCTTAGCCTATAGGAATGTCAGTAATCCTTCAATAAAATACATTCACGTCCTAATGTTTCACTGACATTCTAATCTCGACTTTTGACAAGAAATGGTATCAAGTACAGGAGGAAACGAGATTTCATTGGTAAAATCGTTTGTTATATTTGAGTAAATTATTCTATGTGGCTATG